TATAAGTGAATAATCTTACGGTCTAAGTAACATAGTGTAGTACAATTTTTTCGAAGAATTGATTCTCCTGTTTTTATGTGAATTGTGTAATAAATTGTGTAAAAACAGGAGCATCTTTACATTTTTTTTTTCTTTACATATTTTTTTACATTTGCAATCAATGAGAATCAATTTTTCGAAATAATTGTACCACACTATGTTACTTATAATTAGACCGTAAAATTCATCTCTACGAATTTGTAACATCTTCAAGAATCGTTGAAAACATCTTATTACTGCTCGATTTAAACTGTATTTTTTTATAATTTGGAATGGTTTGAGATGTAGGATTGAAATTTACAGGGATGCAACAGGATCATAAAATCTATCATTAAATATCCACCTTGACATTCCCAGGGGAAGAGGGGAAAAGAAGGTCTGAAAATCTTAAATGACATGTGAATGAAGACTCGTTTGAAAGGGCTTTTCAAGACGAGAACACTGCGGACTGATCGAGGTCTAAGACTTTTTTCCGCAGTTATGGTCGTTTAAATATTGTTATTCAGAAAAAAGAAATACATCTCTTTTGTGCGTGCGTGCGCGCGCGCGTGCGTGCGTGTTTGTGTATAGCGCGGGCTCATCATGGCTTATCTTTGATTGAATCGGTTTTTCAGAAAGAGAAGATTTTGAAATTAGACTGGAGTCCCATGGAGCGGAAATTGCAGTAAAACGGAACAGTGAGTCCAATCATTACTCTACTTTTCTGCGATTGTAGTTGGTCTCGCTGTTACATTTTGCTGCAGATTTCCGCTCCATGGGACTCCAGCCTAATTTCAAAATCTTCTGAAAAATCAATTCAATCAAAGATAAGCCAAGATGAGCCCGCGCTATACACACACACACACACACACACACACACTCACGCACGCACGCACACACGCACAAAAGATATGTATTTATTTTTTCTGAATAACAATGTTTAAATGACATTACTGCGGACGCCAGCCTTAGATAGGCTTAATACTAATGCCGGCGGTACTGTAACTTTCAAGCCATACATTTAAATATTCCTTCTTTTCCCCTCTTCCCCTGGGAACGTCAAGGTAGATGTTTAATGATAGATTTTATGATCCTGTTGTATCCCTGTAAATTTCAATCCTACATCTCAAACCATTCAGAAATTATAATAACAATATTCAAATGACAATGACTATGAAAAAAAATCTTAGAGACTTCGATTAGTCCGTGTTGTTCTCGTTTTAGAAAACAATTTCAAACGAGCCTTCGCTCGATTCCACATGCGATTTAAGATTTTCAGGCTTTTTTCTCTCCCTTCATCCCGGGAACGTTAAGACGAGTGTTTTTGAGGTTCAATGACATGGCATTTTCCACTCGAC